CAGCCCCCCCAACCCCAGCCCCTGGGCCCCGCCCTCTGCCCCTCGGTGGGGGACGGGGGCTCTGAGGCAGCTTGACAGCTTGAACGCAGGGGGGGACACCACCTTGGTCCCCCGTCCGAGGGGCAGAGGGTGACCCCAAGAGCCGGGGCCTCATGCGGCTGGGCAATGCCGGGTTTGGGGCAGGGGCCCACCTCTCTGACACAGCCCCCAGCACAGAGCCACCCTGCACCAGCCTCTTACCCACACGGTCCCCTTGCGAGGGGCCACAAAATAAGCCTTGAAGCCCAAGTACCCGGCGTCGATGTAGTGGATCCCGCAGAGACCATAACTGCAACAGAAAGGGAACGGGTGGGGATGGAGCTCTGCGCTGCCACCCCCTGACAGTGAGAGCCAGGCAGTAGCCCACCTCCCTGAGACCCCAGGACCCAGGCGGATAGAGGCTGCTGCTCTCGCTCCGGCAGCGCATCGCAGCATCCCCGGGCAGCTCCCGCCAGCTGGGAACGTGCCCAAAGCCCCAGAACCCCTTCCGCTGACTTGTGTCGGCCTGGGGCCACGCAGGAGCTCAGGGGCCTCGTCCCTCCCCTTGCCCCCTCGCTTGTGCCCCGGGATGGTATGGCCAGGGGACACCAGCACCGCGGAGCTGTGGCGTGGCACAACCCGGCACGAGTGGCGCCCCTAGGAGGGAGAGGCCAGAGGGGGTCCCCGGGGAGGGACAGGCCAGACCCCAGCCGCAGGGCTGGCCCCTGGGCGCAGAGCGGGCACCGCAGCCGCCCTGGCACTCACGAGGCGTAGCAGTTGTCCTGGGCCACGGTGACGCCGTTGTAGGGCAGCAGCCAGGCCACCTCCGTGCTGAGGAAGCGCTTGATGCTGTTGATGGGCTCGTAGGGCCGCCGCAGGTCCCAGAACTTGATCTTGCGGTCGCTCCCTGCCGTGACCAGGAAGTTGCTGAGAACCAGGAGAAAGGCAGCACTGAGACCCCAGCGCAGAGCCAAGCCCCATCCCTGCCACAGGGACGAGGTGGCCCTGGCCCCGCAGCCCAGCACCACTCCCAGAGGAACAGCACCCCGGAAAGCCCAACCCCACCTCTTCGGTGCCTCCGAGGGCCAAGCGCCACCGGCACCGAGTCCTCGTACGCCCGTCCTGGCAAAGGCGCCTTGTCCGCAGGAGCGAACCCCTCTCCCGGCAGCACCCACCCTGGCGCCCCCTCCCCTGCCCTCACCTATCGGCCTTGCACCACTCCATGCTCCGGACCGCGTGGTCGTGGGCTAGAAAGCACCGGAAAGGGTAGAGCTTGAGGGAGCCGTCGGGCTGGTGCACGCACTGCAGCAGGGACTTGGTGAGCAGGTTCCAGACGGCCACCGTACCTGTGGGATGAGATCCGTGCCCGTGAGGAGCCGCGCCACCGCGCCTGTGCCACAGATGGATGCCCGGCGCCGCAGCGTGGGACCTGAGGTGGCGCAGGGCTGGGGGCCGGGCGGCGGCATGGCTGGGGGC